CAAGAAGAAAATTGGGAAAACCCCCAAAATATGGAGATCAAACAATATGCTATTGAACAATCAATGGGTCACTGAAGAAAACAAAGAGGAAATTAAAATTACCTAGGGACAAAATAGGAACACTACAAATCCAAATTTTTAAAATCAGCAAAAGTGATTCTAAAAGGGAAACTCATAGCAATACAGGCCTACCTTAAGTAAATCTCAAATAATCTAATTTTACACAAGAGGGAAGTCCAAAATTAGTAGAGGGAAAGAAATAATAAAGATCACATCAGGGGTGCCTGGGTGGCTCAATCGGTTAAGCGTCTGCCTTTGGCTCAGGTCATGATCCCAGGGTCCTGGGATGGAGTCCCGCATTGGGCTCCCTGCTCGGCAGAGAGCCTACTTCTCCCTCTGCCTGCCGCATTGCCTACTTGTGCTCTCTCTCTGTCAAATAAATAAATAAAATCTTAAAAAAAATAAAGATCAGAGCAGAAATAAATGAAAGAGACAAAACAATAGAAAAGGTCAATGAAACTAAGAGCTGGTTCTTTGAAAAGATAAAGCAACTTGACAAACCTTTGGCCAGACTCTTCAAGAAAAAGGATTCAAGTAAAATGAGAAATGAAAGAGAAGTTACAACTGACATCACTGAAATATGAAGAATCATGAGACTATGAACAATTATAGGCCAACAAATTGGACAACCTAGAAGAAATGGATAAATTCCTAGAAAGGTAAAATTTATAAAAAACATAAAATTTATAAAGAAATAGAAAATCTGAATAGACCAGTTACTAGCAAGGATATTGAATTAATAATCAGAATTTCCCAAAAGTCCAGGACCAATGGTTTCACAGACGAATTTTATCAAACATTCAGAGATTTAATACATATCCTTTTAAAACTCTTACAAAAATATTGAATGGGAGGGAGCACTTCATTAGTTTTGAAGCATTACCCTGATACCAAAACTAGACAAGACTACCACATATACACAGAAAGTTACAGGCCAGTATCATTGATGACACTGATGAAAAAATTCTCAACAAAATATTAGCAAACCGAGTTCAATAATACATTAAACAGCTCATAAACCACAATCAAGTGGGATTTAGTCCAGGAATCCAAGGATGGTTCAGTGCCCACAGATCAATCAACACCACATTAACAAAATGAAGGATAAAAATCATATCTTAATAGATGCAGAAAAATCATTTGACAAAATTCAACATCCATTTATATGATCCATACTCAACAAAGTGAGTAAAGATAATAAAGGCCATATATGACAGACCCACAGCTAACATCATACTCAATGGTAAAAAGCTGGCAGTTTTTCTCTAAGATCAGAAACAAGAAGAGAATTGCACACTCTTGCCACTTCCATTCAACACAGTACTGGAAGTCCTAGCCACAGCAATTAAGCAAGAGAAAGAAATAGAAGACACCCATGGGAGGAAGAACTAAAACTATCACTATTCACAGTTGACACAATACTATATATAGAAAATCCAAAAGACTACCAAAACTGTTAAAACGAATAGATGGATTTAGTAAAGTAGGAGGATACAATATTAATATAACAAATCTGGCATTTCTATACACGAATAATGAGTTATCAGAGAGAGGAATTAAGAAAACAATCTCATTTAAAAGTGCACCAAAAAGAATAAAATACCTAGGAATAAATTTAACCAAGGAAGTGAAAGATCTGTATACTGAAAACCATGGCATTGATGAAAAATTAAAGAAGACACAAATAAATGGAAAGATAGTTCATGGGCATGGATTGGAAGAATTAATATTGTTAAAATGTCCATACTATGCAAAGCAATCTGCAGATTCATTGCAGTCCCCTCTCAAAATTCCAAGGACATTTTTCATGGAACTAGAACAAAAATTCTAAAATTTGTATGGAACCAAGGAAGATCCCAAATAGCCAAAGTAATCTTGAGAAAGAAGAACAAAGTTTGAGGCTTCATGCTCCTTGATTTGAAATTATACTACAAAGCTATACTAATCAGAACAGTTTGGTATGGGCATAAGAACAGACATGCTGATCAATGGAACCGAATTGAGAGCCCAAAATTAAACCCACACATAATATGGACAATTAATTTCTAACAAAAGAGCCAATAACATACAAATGGAGAAGGGAAAGTCTCCAATAAATGGTATTGGGAAAAACTGAACAGCCACATGCAGAAGAATGAAACTTGACCACTGTCTTGCACTATACACAAAAATTAACTCATAATGCATTAAAGACTTGAACGTAAGACCTGAAACTGTAAAATTCCTAAAAGAAGAAAACATAACTGGTAAGCTCCTCGACATGTGTCTTAGCAGTATTTTTGTAGATCTGACTCCAAAGGCAGGGGAAACAAAAATAAACAAATTGGACTACATCAAACTTCTGCAGCAAATCATCGAAATGAAAAGATAATCTACTGAATAGAAGATTTTTGCAAATCATATATCTGATAAGGGATAATGTGCAAAATATATCAAGAACTTATACAACTCAATAAATAAATAAATAAATAAAACAAAACCCCAAACAACTCAATTAAAAAATGGGCAGAGGATCTGAATAGACACTTTTCCAGAGAAGACATCCAGATGGCCAATAGGCACGTGAAAAGATGCTCAACATCAATAATTATTAGGTAAATGCAAATCAAAACTGCATTTGACGTGTCACCTCACGTCAGTTAGAATGGGTATTATCAAAAAGACAATATAACAAGTGTTGGTGAGGATATGGAGAAAAGGAAACCCTTGTACACTGTTTATGGGAATGTAAATTAGTGCAGCCACTATGAAAAACAGTATGGAGACTTCTCCATACTGTTAAAAAAATTAAGACTAGAACTACTATATGATCCATCTATTCCACTTCTGGCTATTATCTGAGGAATGTAAAAATACTGACTTGAAAAGATACATGCCCTGGGCGCCTGAGTGGCTCATTTGGTTAGGCGTCTGCCTTCAGCACAGGTCATGATCCTGGGGTCCTGGGATTTTGTCCCGCATTAGGCTCCCTGCTCAGTGGGGAGTCTGCTTCTCCCTCTACCCCTCCCCCCTACTCGTGATCACTCTCTCTCTCTCATTAATAAATAAAATATTAAAAAAAAAAAAGATATATGCCCCCCTGTATTCATTGTAACATTATATCAATAGCCATGACCTGGAAAGAACCTAAGTGTCTATTGGTAGATGAAGAGGTGGAGAAGATGTGGTGTGTGTGTACACACACACACACACACACACACACACACACACACACACGGAATATTACCCTGCCATTAAAAATGAATGAAATCTTGCCATTTGTGATAACATGGAGAGACCTTGAAGGTATTATACTAATGAAAGAAGTTAGAGGATGACAAATACCATATAATTTTATTCATATGTAAAGTCTAGAAAACAAATGAACAAACAAAACAAACTCATAGATATAGACAACTGATTGGTGGCTACCAGAAGGTTGGTGGGGGGCAAAATGGGTGAACAGGGTCAATTATATGGTTATGGGTGGTAACTAGACTTCTGCTGGTGATCTCTGTAGTGCATACGGGTGTCGAATTGTAATGGTGTATAACTGAAAGTCATATAATGTTACATGCCAATTTTACCTCAATTAAAAAAAGGAAAATACGGGGAAAAAAAAAGAACGCTCTAAAAAAATGGGCAATTAATCTTAAATTAGGTCACCAGACCCTTCTGCCATTAGGCATACTTTGATGGGTAGGTTTGAGATATTGTTAAGGCAAATGAAAGTTTATTTAATCACACTAGTTCTATTAAAAATATTACATTTCTAGTCATCTTGGCTATAAGTAAACTGTTTAAATAAAGGCAGAACTTACCATTAATGGTAAGTTAATGATGGGTCTTTATAGGTTTGGTGTTTATGATTGTGGAGAGATGCTCATTTAAGTCTTTGGACTTGAACGGACATGCTTGGTGATAAAAAATGTCACAAAATCATCTGATCACTTAATTATTTTTTAAAAACCGTTATTAGATATGTATTTGATAGCTATCTTATAAAATATACTTATTACAAATGTATTCCTAATTTTGTTTACATACCTATTTTTTAATGATACACACGTGTTTATTGACATGTGAGCAAATTTGATTTTCAGGGTGAATTCTGCCACCACCTAATGTGCATCTTTTTAGCTGTGTGATGCCATTGTAGAATGCTTTCCTACACCAATACCAGTTTCTTAGAATCAAAGTCATAAAAAGGTGTTCAAAGTAACCATTTGTGCCTGATGTTCTTATAAAGCAGCATTCAGTTAATTTGTTTCTGAACATCCATAAATGAAGAATTTCTGGACTCTTTTTGAAATTGTTTCCTAATCTTATGCCAAAATGTTAGTTCTCTTTGTACTAAGTACAGTCCTAGTACATAAAGACCTTGGAGTAACAGATCTTTCTTCCATTAGTTTATCTTAGCATTAGGTAAGGAATAGGACTAATTTCGGAGTTTAAGTCTTTTTTTTTTTTTCTCTTTATCATTATGGCTGAGTTCCTTTACCATAATGGTGTAATAAAGGATCACTAAACTAAAAGCCAGATGACTTGGGTTTTAGTTTTCTAATTTATATAAGATTTTTGTATTCACTTAATCTCAGTGTAGCCCACCTTCTTCATGGGGTATTATAAAGACAGATGAACAAATGCTGTCAAGGGGCAAAAACAAATCATAATTCAAATACAAGGTATTATAATGGAAAGAAGATATTTGTATTTTCCATTGTGTTGAAGAGGTTAAAGATTTGAAAATTCCTTAAATGTTGTGATGAAAACCGTAGATGATGTGTCTGATAGAAAATCTGTCCCAAGTCAGGAGTGTTTGTAAGACACCTGCCTTGTACCTTTAATTTTTTGTAATTGTTTTCACTTTTTCCAGGTAAATGTCCTTATTTCTGCTCCCTTTCGGACCACCCAATGCACAGCTTTACCCACAAGTACTTTTTTTTTGTTTTCCTTCAAAGGGAGCTACCATTAAGAAAGATGAGCAGACTGGGGCCATCATTGTGGCTAGAATCATGAGGGGAGGAGCTGCAGATAGAAGTGGTAAGGATTAAAAAAAAAAAAGTGGTAAGGGTTTCAACAGTAGGCTTGTGGACAAGCCATGTTGCGTTTCATGGGCAACATTTCCAACATGTAATTAAGAGGATAACAATCTTTTGATGTAATACATCAAAACAGTGAGATATTTTTCTCTGTGTTGAACTGTGGGAACCTATTGAAATAAACGATACATCTCACTCTACAATCTCAGTTTACATGGGCTCCCAGAGTTACATTAAGATCTGTTTCAAATGTTTCTGATTTGAAAAGTACTACTGCATGTGTGCAGCCTTTGAAACAAAATAAAAATTCTTTTATTAGGTGAAAATAATATACATTTCTAGACAAAGACTGGGATGCAGATGTCCTTTCTTTGCCGGCATTATAACATGGTAGTCTTGGATTCACTGCTGTTTAGAGGCACAGAATCCGAAACCTGAGAAGCCTAAAGGTCTCCGCAAATGTATTAAGGGAATGAAACAAAGCTTTGAGTATGGACACGATTGCAAATTGCGGTTCTTTTGTAGGTAACTCTGCTAATTTACCAAATTTGCTACTTCTCAGGTCTCATTCATGTTGGTGATGAACTTAGGGAAGTGAATGGGATTCCAGTAGAGGATAAAAGGCCTGAGGAAATAATTCAGATTCTGGTAAGCTGAAAATATATTTTAAAATTGCAATAAAAAATGAAATTGAATCAGTATGTTTCAGACTTGGTTATAAATATAGGATTTGGATTTAGCTGTCTAGAGTTGTAATCCCAGCTTCATTACTTAATCCCTGTATGTCCTTGGAAAATAACCTTAATCTTTGCATTACCTGTGTTTTCATTTACAAAATGAAAACAAGAAGAGGTAAGTACCTCACGGCAGTGTTTTGAGGATTAAATGAGCTAATGTATGTAAAGAGTTTATTACAGGGCCTGTTCCAAATAGGTACTTAATAGGTGGCATCTACTCTGTTGTTCATGAAGCATTTTTCTTTTCCCTTCTCCCATCGACATGGCCAGACTATAGGCTGTGCTTTCTAGGTATCTATAGCAGTGAAACTAATTTAGATGTCTTGTGAAATCTAAAACGGAACAAAATTATTTTAGGCCTTGACGGTATTAATTCTCCAGTTCATTTGTAAGGATTAAATGAGGGAGACTGTCTCTATTAATGTATGAAAACAAAAACATACAGAAATAGAATTTAGTATCTTCAAACAGACCCTTGTATATATGAAAATTTAGTACATGATTAAGATGGCATTTTAAATCCATGGGAAAACAGTGAAGTCATTTCATAAATGGTACTGGATAAATTGATGATTCAGTTTTAAATAACAGAGTCAGTCCCTATTTTACACTATACCCAAAACAAATCCCAATGAATTAAATGTTTTTAAAAAATCAAAAAAATAAAGGAAGACTTTTTAAACTTGATGTGAAATTCAAATAGAAAAATAACTGAGGCGATTGTAAGAATTAAAAACTTTATAGGAAAAGATGCCATATGTAACCTGAAAGACACATGGCACTTAGGAAAAATATTGTCCATATATATGAGAGAAGGTATTTTAATGTGTAGAGAGTTCATAAAAATCAATAAGAGAAAAAATATTTATAGAAAAATTTACAAAAGAAGACATGACTGAAAAATATTGGATTGGAGGGATTTGAAAGCTTGATAATGGCTAGAGTCAGCAGATTCTAGGCACGTAGCTCTACTCATATGTTTCCAGTGGTGGAATGCATTAATAGATCCTGTTGCGATGGCTATCTGAAACCATCAAAATTTTAAATTTATATAGCAAGAAGGTTGCATTGATTGACTAATCATTCATCCACATGATGGCAGTCACAATGGCTGGTAGACCTATATGACTTAGTAATACTAGTAATTCTTACAGTGGTTGAGCCCTTAATGACCTTTTTCTAAGGGCTTTGCACACATTAACACACACACACACACACACACACACACACACAAACTAGTAGACTGGAAAGAGGTCATAGAGAAGACTTGCTTTCTCTCTACCTATGCAGTTCGGTGTTATATGAATTCTTAATACGATTTGTCAGTTGTTTTATGATAAGTAATAACAGTGATATTACCCTTTTGAAATCAATCCTGTTATAAAATTCTGATATTTATACTGTTAAAGCCCCATTTTACTTGAGTCTTTGTGCTGTTCTGGAGCTGCTCCTTACATTTGCAAGAGCTGATTCTATGCAGCTTTTCCCAATTGGGCTTTCAGAGACTTCACACTGGTAAATGGAAATTGGCTGTGGTTCCATGGACATTGGCAAACAATACAGATCAGGGCCTCCCCTCCCACCTCCCCCCAGAAGAGAGCCCTTGTTTACGATAGTGCATCTCAGAGATAGCTACCCATTCTCCCTTCTCTCTCTCTCTCTCCCGCCCCCCTTCCTTCCTCTCCTCTGCCTGATCACATCTTCCTCTTTTCTTTTCTCCCTCCTTCCTCTCAAATATGTGCCAGATACTTAGTGCTTTCGTGGAGCTTCAAATTTAGCAGTGATAACAGATATTAAGAAATAATTGTATCAATGATTACTTTGTACGGTTATGAGAAATGCTAGAAAGAGAGAAACAGAGAAAGACATGAGAGTATATGAAAGGGACATCTGCTGTGGTCTGAGATGGTTGGAAAAGAACGGCCTGTATTATTGTCGCTTGCTTTCATTAAATTAATAGGTACTTAATCTTTTCATCTTTTAATTAATCTATTACACTTGGTGTTCTACTCACTAAGCAGAATAGCAGTGAATGTTCTTCATTATATTTTTCTGCTGAGCATTGCGGTGAATGTATATATATTGTATATAGTGAATCATATAACTTTATTGCTGACAGTACAGGTATTTTGTTCTTAAAAACGTGGATGCCGATACTTAAAAATATCATCTGAACCTTGCACATCATCTGTAATGTTGTCTGTACAAGGCAGTCTGCAGGTTCTGTGTTTCTATTCTGAGGTAGCTCCACATGGATGGTAGTACATTCATCAGCATTTTGAAAGTGCACAGGAGGTAAAAGTGGATTTAGCGTTTAGTGTTTTTTAACTTACTTGACAAACTTGAGTGCCTTCTCATATTGCAAGAATTTCTACAAAAATAGTTTTCTCAGTTTGGTTTATCTAAGAGTAGAAACCCCAAGCTTATAAATTTTCAGAATTATTCCCTTCTCTACCTGTTTTGCCTTCCTTCCCCAGGCTCTAGAAGTTCTCTGATAAGTCTTTCCTCTGTTATCAGGCTCAGTCTCAGGGAGCAATTACATTTAAGATCATACCCAGCATCAAAGAGGAGACACCATCTAAAGAAGGCAAGGTAACCATTCCCTAAAGAACCTTTTTTGTTTGTTTTGGAGGTGGAGGGCGCTAATATTTCCCCATCTAATACATACCCTCTTTGTCACAGTGAGTTCATTTTCATATTCCCTTTTTAAAAAATCATTCTTTTTGGGGGGATGCCTGGGTGGCTCAGTCAGTTAAGCGTCTGCCTTCGGCTCGGGTGTTGATCCCAGGGTCCTGGGATGGAGCCCCACATCGGGCTCTTTGCTCAGCAGGGAGCCTGCTTCTCCCTCTGCCCCTCCCCCTGCTTGTGCTCTCTCTCTCTCTCTCAAATAAATAAATAAAATCTTTTAAAAAATAAAAAATTATTCTTTTTTAGACAAAAATTATCCTAAATCAGAGAAGAATGTTGGCCCTTTCACATTTACTTTTTATATTCCTTTTAAATGAAACTCTCTTCCAGATGTTTATCAAAGCCCTCTTTGACTATGACCCTAATGAGGATAAAGCAATTCCATGTAAGGAAGCTGGGCTTTCTTTCAAAAAGGGAGATATTCTTCAGATTATGAGCCAAGATGATGCAACATGGTGGCAAGCAAAGCACGCAGGTGATGCCAATCCCAGGGCAGGCTTGATTCCCTCAAAGCATTTCCAGGAAAGGTGAGCTACTGGCATGCCGTAATGGTCTCTCTTCAAATGACCTTTTGTTCTCTGCAAAATATCACTCGAGGAGAGTTGTGATAAAATGAGCACTAAAACCTTGCTTTAGAATCCTTTATCCCTCAGGTTTGGATTTCTGTTTTGTCTAACTAAGGATGAATAATGACCAAAAATAATATGACAGGACCAGGTCATACTCGGTTTTTGTTATGAAGCAAAGGGAAAAATAGCATGTTAATGTCTGAAACTGTATTGATGTGAAAGATGGGGGGGAATGAAGAGTGATTTTGGAGTGGGGATGATTTATAAAACTCTGAAAGTAGAGGTTTTATTTTTTAATTTGAATAGATTGCATTGTGCTCATTTTTTCCCCTGGCTTCCCTTTCCCCCCCCTCCTTGGGACTTTTAATATTTTGGTGTTATATTAATCTTGGATCTGTACTGAAAATTGATAGGCATTGACCTTCTTTTTCCCCCAGGAGATTGGCTCTGAGAAGACCAGAAATATTAGTTCAGCCCTTGAAAGTTTCCAACAGGAAATCATGTAAGTTTGTTAATAAAAATGTAGAGTAACCAAATCTTGCTGTTTATTTTTGACTATTAAAGCAGGTGTTTGTGGGAGAACGAGAGCTCGTAGTGCCTTGTGATAGCTTCTGGATCATCATTTCACAGCAACCAAACAAATAAGAAACTCACAGTAGAATATTAAAGTGAGTCTTTTGAAGAAAGGGGTGTTTGCAGTTGTTTATGATAAACCCATGACTCACCCTTTAAGAAACTAACTAGCAACACTACTCTCCTTGACTTCTGAATGTAGGTGTTTTCATAAATGTGACCTCAAATGCAACTCTTTTGTTTCTCCAAAGCTAGAAGGTTTGGGTAAGACACTTCTTGGTAAAATTAGGGGGAGAAAATCTACCACTTTCTTGGGCACAAAGGCAATTGAGCCTGAGAAGAGTTGTTGTTCTTCCTAACTCCTTGCTTATCCAGAAATCAGAGTAACTCTGACCTTTATCTCGCCTGTTTGGATTTGGGCGCATTCTTTTTCTCCTTCATACTCTCCTTCTCTCAGCTTCTCTTTTACTCCCCACTCCCTCACCCCTGTCAAGGCCCCATCCCATAAATTTCCTACTTCATCTCCTCTAAATGTTTCGTGGTTCTAGGTATTCTAAGAGTAAAAAAAGCCTTTTGTTTTCAACATAGAGATTGCACATTAAAAGGTGAAATGCACAAATAAATGGTCCTGGAATTTTACACCAACATCTGGTTTTAGTATTGTTGCATTTTTCACATCTCCTGTTATTTCTGTCAGTTTGTAGACGTGTATAGCCCAGGAATTACATTATAAGAGAGCCAAACTACAGTCGAGTATAAATCTCACAAGCAAGCAAATACTTCAAGTGGAGCACTGATTCAAAAGCCTGCTTGTTCTTGCTCCGTTAAGTCTGGGCAGAAGGAAAACACACTTGTCATAGAATGCCACACGGATTGTGACATCAGAAAGTATACAGTTTAACCAGAAGGTTGCATCGTTTTTAAGTGTGATGAATTTTTGCTGGCAGGGGCTCTGAGGCATCCACCTGACTTGCTCTTGGAGGGATTTCTAAATTGGGGGCCTGCACACTTCTGGTACATTTGGTGCATGTGCGATAAAGTGTGTGTAACTTGAAAAGGAAATCAATGTGATTCTACTCGAATCTGAATCCATACTCCCAATTTGTTTGAGCCTTAGGCCACTTAGAAATGTCCAGTTTGATATAGTTGTGGATTTTCACTTATTTGTTTTTTATAAATGTGCTTCTTTAAACAACTACTCGGAATGGGTATATAGTCTTTCTAATAGATCTCCTCAAACTGGTTTCAGTATAAATGTGTGTGAATGTCAGAGGGATTTTGTGTGTGTGTGTGTGTGTGTGTGCGCGCGCATGCGTGTGTGCGCGCATGCACGCCTGCACACACGTGTGTAGAGCTGTTAATTGTAATGGGTGATTTTTGTCTGTTAATATGCAGAGTTTTTTTATATGATAATCTTGAATATTTGAGTCTGAGAAATATTTATTCCAAAATTACTGAAATGTCATTATCTGGATGTTTTAAGGTTTTTTGTTTTTGTTTTTTTGCTTTTTCTGCCTCTTGAAGACCATTTAGGAATGTTTACTGTTTCCCATTCACACTTGCTTCCTTTTCTTCTTTTCTATTTTTTTAAAACTAGACTTGATTCACAGAGAGATATATTGGTGGTTCTCATATACAGATGTTCTCTATTTTTAAATAAAAACAAATTGGGTCAATATTATGCAGATCACTAGTGTATAGTAAATATGGCCTTATTCAGAGAGACAGTCTATGTCTATGAAGCTTACATAGAAAGCTAGTACTTTTATAGTCAAAGAATTAAAAATTCTATTTGAAGTTTTTTTTTAAGTGTTGTCTCCTAAACCCCTGAACTCCAAAGTTATGCAAAAATTATTATACTGGTTCTGAACATTTTTAAAGTTATTTAAAAGCACTGTGTCCTATAATCTGTGTATCTGATAGTGATTCTTTATGTACCTACACTTATAAATTGTAAAGGCCATCTAACCCAACACTTCCTGGACTCCAACATTTGGGACTTAGACTTTTAGGACAGGGCATCCATATCGTGCTCTTTGCTAAATTACAGAATAACACCATGAAGAAAAACAAAGTTAATATAAAATCTTTTATTTATATGACTTTGAATAAAAATTCATAGACTAGGTTTTAAGAAATGTTTCTAATTTAATGTAAACATTTTAAAAGAATTCTGTCCTGTTGGTGTTTTATAAGGGTATTAAAAATAGTCATGTTGATAATTTTCTGCACTAAATTTTATAAGTGCGCTTAAAACCTAGGAGATAGTGTTAAACAGTGAATTTAGAATAATGACTTTAGTTAGGTGATAATATGTATCAAATTAGCCAGTTAACTTTTTTCACATAATAATTGCTTGACTTACTGTGGTTTTACTCTTTGACTCACAATCATCATAACTAAAGTTTGCATGGAGGAAAAGCTCTGGAACTCTAGGGGCTCAGTCAATGTCAAGATCAAAGTCAAAAAGGATTGGAGAAGGCATTTATGTTTGTGCTAGAGCTGTAGATAAATTCAGGAGCCATAATACTGACATCTTCAGGCTTTAAAACTGGCATCTTCCTGCAAAACTCTGTGGTATTCATCTTTGATGCTTGGTTATTTCCTCCCCTTAAGAATCTTGGCATATCTGGTACAGATTGAGAAAATAGGCTTCTCAAACAAAATAATTTGCCTCTTGAAATTAAACATTCCTAAAAAATATGAACTCTTAAAACTAAAGCATAAGTGAATCTTAGAAGCTTGACAGAGGGACTCATCCCCACTTCCTCCTGTTGTTTCAAAGAACAGCTTACCTAACAAGGAAATTGGCAATAGAATTCTGCGTTCCCTCCCTTTCTCCTTCATCTGATGAGAGGCTCTTACATAATGGATTTACATTAGTAACAGAAACAGAAGAGCAGCCTAGAAGTCTGATAGGTTCTCTTTGACATGACCAACTTTTAGATTATTACATGAAAGACACAGGTTAAGTGTTTTGGAAATGAGTTAAAAGCGTATCTTATGTCTCAAGTAACATATAGGAGGAGTTTTCATGACAGCCACTTGGCAGCTTGCAATTCTTGTGTCGATATAATTTAAAGTACTCTGATTTTTCTGCCAAAAAGCTTATTTTTTATAGTTCAGTTGCATATATAAAGCAATATGATATCACCTAACCTTATTAAAGAGCAATATGATTTTCTTTGATTAATTAAAATATTGTTTGTTCCCTTTCTATTGAAATTAAGTTTTATAAGTTTTTTGTCTTCCTAATAATACAAACATTAATAACTTTGACTTCAATAATATATAACTTATTTAAATCTAGTTTTACAGCGCATTCCGCAAAGCCTCTTCTTACTCAAGTAGTGTATTTTATAGGAGAATATTCCCGTATGATTTTTATTTATGGTGCTTAGTTTCTTTTTTTAGTTCTCAAAGTATAAATACCTTAAAAGATCTCATACTGCTGACTGAATAATATTAATTTAAAATTTTTCTTTTATAAAATAGCTCTTATAGAATTTTTGTAATAAAAAAAGTCCAGAAGGTATGATTTATTTTTTTGAAGATTAGAAGGTAAAATTTTAGAATCTGTTTTAACCAGTTGTGGCTGCAATCATGTGGGTACAAAAGAAAATATTTAACTGGAGCCAGAGGTGGCCATTCAAACAGCATATAACCGAGTTCATTCAAAGACAGGCATTTTGTGGATTGAAGATCACAATCTAGCAACAGTACAGTTTAAACACTGAGTAAACAAATGAATTCACTGTGCATGGTACCAATATTTTGGAAGGCCAAACATTTGAGAATAATATATATAACATTCCAGGTTGTTATAACTTTTCAAATTGAGTAAGCTCCTTTCTCCTAGCATCTTAAACAGTGTTTATCTAGTGTGTTCATATATAAAGTTAATTCAGAAATTAACAAGTAGATTGCTTATGTTTAAATTTGTATGCCTAAAACTCTGTCAAATATTTCTTAATACTGGTGGGATTTTGTGTTAACAGAAACAGGCGGTTTTAAAAAATACTGAAGGTGGGGCTCCCCCCCCCAATATTTACTGATACTCTTTGGGAAATGCCAGAGTTCAGAGATTGTGTGGAGAGAGGTGCAGATGAGCTAGGCTTGTAAGTGGTATGTCTGACTGTTTGTGTCAGGAGATGGTTGAGGTGATGGTCTAATTGTTATTGCTCACTTTTCATCTCAGTAGACTGTGTTCTTCTTACATAAATTGAAAATGTTCTTTCTGAAACACTATCAGTGTATGTGCTGTTAGCTTTTCCATATGAAGGGTTTTAAGCCATACCCTCTCTTGCCTTTTGTCTTGGGGACCCAATGCTGTGCAGGTAAGAGAGTTGATTAAGGATTAAGGGTGTGGTCTGTGGCCACAGGTTATCGCAGACTTGTAGGGAAGATTGCATGTGGGCAGAGGGAGGCATAAGAAAGCGGTTTCTAGGGTGGGGAATTTTAACTTTGCCCCTGTAAATACGATCACACCTATAAAGACACAGTTTCTCCACTTGTCAAGAGTATCTGACATTGCACCGCTCCGAGTAGCTAGCGTCCGGCAGTGTAGAAAGGTTCCTCCTGTCCTGTTACGTGAAGCTCATCAAACGCTCTTCACTCCATTCTCTGAAGACATCCACAGTTACTCTTTGTGACTTTGTTGGCCTCTCCTCTGTGATTTTTGTCATTCTCCCATCCTGCTCTTCAGTGCTTGGAGATGTGGAGAGCGGACTCCTGATAGGCAGGGGAGACTCTCCCCCAGACTCTCCAGCAGTCAGGAGAAACACACTTGGGAGGGTCAAGTGTCGGGCGGGGGGACAAGAGGCTGGTATGCTGGGAGGTGTCGGAGAGTAGACCAGAAACGTGAAAGAAACTTACTTCATTTGACCTCTCCGCCAACTTACATTTCCTAGCGTAAAGTTAGAGTAATTA